TCAACGTTTGGATGATCCAAAGGGTCTCATCCAATTACCAGCTTGGTCCATAAAGCCCCGTGGAAAACTCACATGGACCCTGAAAACCACTGGTTTCTAGAGTCTAGAGGAAAACAGTCACACTCAGGGTGCCATTTTTTTCACTACTCGAGCCCAGTTTCAATCACTTCCTCTCTCAAAAAGCTTCAAAAATCCGCAGCCACCGCCCGGTCGGTCTAATCGGATGCCCTATCTGGGTGCCCCCAAACGTAGAAGCAATTCCAATGCCTCGGGCAGGTCGACCGGTCGACCAGGTTGACAGCCGGTCCAAGGTCCCGGAATTCCTCAGGAAAGTCCCATGCATAGACAACAGCTTCTTGTTACTAGAAGCAAGAATGCTCCTAGTACGGCCAGGAGCCCCTAGTAGCGTCCTTGCTCCTAGTAGCGATGCCCTTTGCCCCTAGTAGCGTCCTTGTTCCCCTCGGGCATCAAGACTCCGACCCAAAGAAGAGAGAATCCTCTAAACGTTCGTCGCCAATACTGATCCAATAAACCAATGTTCTGCTGTGCATCGGCGTCCGCAAGTCTGCGTGGATCTCTGGTTGATCTGTTGATTTTGCCTTAGGACCTAAGGACATTTACTCAACCCAAAACCAAATGTACTGTTCCTTTCTGTTTTCCGTTACGCTCGTCATCCAATGGTGTTCCGAGTGAACAGCCCGGTGAAGAGCCGATCCGCAGAGGTGACCGGCAACGTCACGCACCGTCCCGGCGATGGTCAAGGAAGGAGTGCTGCACGGTTGGCACACATGATACTTTTTATGGATGATTGTAGGTCTAGATGAAAAATCCATGTACCCTGTGCCCCACATCCCATGCTGTTCGAAGTTGTCTGGGTCTGACTTCCAATCTTTAAACAGAGTCACAGCGGCTGGGCTAAGGTCATCTGAGGTCTGCACCAGGACCAATATCCAAGATCTTCCTAGACGAAGACCAACGGACCAAAGTCAAATTCAAAAAAATGGCCCGTCGCGCTGTATGCTTCGTAGTTGCTCAAGCTACAGGCATGGAACGGGAAGAGGTTCAGAGAACGACTTCCCTCTGCAGCCTCCACTTAATCTCTCTGTCGCGGTGTGTCACTGTCCATACTTCAACTTGGGAGTTGAATGACAGAAGAGTTCGTCAAGTCAGCAGCGGTGTCAGGGGGTACCTATGACCCACGTGGTCAATCTCTGTCACGGTGGAGGCGCGCATCGGATTCAGATTGAATCAGATTGTCAGGCAACTCTTGATACTATTACGGCTAACTACGGCTAACTACGGCTAACTATATGTCTTTGTGTGTTGGGAGCCACGGGCCTTTCGCGACTCCCTTCGCACCGCCCCCCACGCGCGTTGGTGACGACGCGCGAACGCGGCGCCTTGGATCGGATCGTACAGCGCACGCGCATGAGCTCGTTTCGGTGGCACGCCTGAGACAGGTGGCAGGGTGTGTTTGGGTGTGAGACACAGAGATGGAAGAGAAGAACACCGTCTTTGCAAGGGGGGGTGATGTCCGGTCTGTGATCTCTCTCATGAGGTGCCCTGCTTGAAACAAATGTGCAAGTGGACAAGGGTTGCCCATCTGTTGAGAAACATATGTCTTCCAAAAAAGATCCAAAAAGCATCTGCCGGCCGAGGTCGTGCCAAACGTCGCTTGGAGGCCTTTGGCGACCTTCCTGCCCGAACGGGGCGGCGGTCTTCCTTGCATAACCCCCCACACCTGTTCACACCGGCGCCGGTGCTTGAACAGGCCTGACGCATGATGAAAGCTAGAAGGCGCTGTCGGCTGCTGCAGAAGAGGCCCCACCTCAAGTGTCCGGCTGGTATTGCTTCAAAACCTGCCACAATGCACTACAAGAAGGGTTGCACACCATAATTCTTAGGGCTAAGGCTAAAAATTCACAAGGACATCTCAAGTCATCACTTGCTGTTGCTTAGAAGTCATACTGGCATATATATATATATATACTGGCTGCACTCAAACCTGTAAAATCAAAGTGCTTGAGTATAGGGCAGTGTTCTTTCTGACTTCTGGGCATCTATGTGTCATTGTCTGATCACCCAACACCACAGTCACCATGAGGCAAGCTGCATCGAGATCGTACGATGTGTCAAAGTCACCAAATCAAAAGGATTCGGCCCCCAATGCCGCACTTCGCCAGCGTGAAATGACTGCGAGGGTTGGGTGGGCGATATCGGTGATATGATTTAACAAAACTGCATCTGTTTGACACCTGCGCCGGGTCCCTATTCTGCATCTGTTGAAAAGACTGCACGCGGGGGCAAGACAGGAGACAGATGAAGATCTTCGACATTGGAGGAGTATCAACCTAGAATTCGGCTTCACACCCTTGTATGGGCCAACAGGGTGATCTTCGCGTGCAGAAAAAGCTCTCCGATATAATATATATATATATAGGCATGGCACCGGCACCGTTTCTTTCCAAACTCAATCAACGCTGCTGAACCCTAGGTCGTAGGTGTCATGATGTGTCCAGCAACCTTCGAGAAGCTTCGCACCACTTCGCTGGTCCGTCGGCCTTTGCGTCCGTGTTCAACGGGACGCACCGACCGTGTGTCGTGGGCGTCCGTGCGTGCCATCTTCCAATTGGTGCACGAAGACATCCAGTGGCGAAGCCTCCGTCAACTCCAAGGGTGTCACCTCAGACGTCGTGTGCCAGGCGTCGTGGTCGCTGGAAATTGGGTGGCCCTGCGCCCAACACATGGTGGGGCCAGGTGGAAAGGGGCCATTGAAAAGAGGTCCTAAACAGGCTGGTCCAAAAATCAACAAGTTGATGAGACAGCTAACAACAGTGAAATTCCAAGAATGGACTTGGGATTCCCACGCTGCCACTGCTCAGGCGTTGAAAGAGTTCAAAGAGTGCCAGCATGGAGCGTTTGTCCTGGACACACGGGTGTGACGGGCCACTCCCTCGCAGAACCACATCCTGGTCATATCGGCCACGGTGAAGGATTAGTGTTTTTTGTCCTAGATGTTGTGTAGGCCCACTGCTATTTCAAGCGTCACAATGCTGCCCAAAGATACATGAAACATCATAAAACATCATGACACTATGGTGCGGGGTAGACCAATTGTACTGAATTGACCCTACCACATGATCTTACATGAGGGATTCCTTAAGGCTTGGAAGACGAAACCAACCAAACTCAAGAACCCTCCGAAGAACCTCCCAGGCCTTGGCCATTCACGTTGGCCCATCCCAGGCCTGGCCCAAACACACACCTTTTGACGGTATCAGGTGGAACAGTCCTTCCATTGACCGAACTCGCGGTGCCTTCCACTCTCTGAAGGACACGCAACTGTCCACCTGTTCTTGTTTCAGTGATTCGTGACTGTTTTACTCATCCCATCCAGTGAGCTTCGTCCCCGGTCCCGGATCGTTCTTCCCCCAACCTCGGTCTGGGATCTTCCCAAAGGCTCGGGATTGGCTTTACCGGCTTAAGGAAAAATGCATGAAACATCTACAAAGAATGGTTCGAATCCGCATTTCTGCTACATGAGTGTCCTGTAGATGGTCCATGAGTGTCTCTCAACCAGAAATCTGTTTACTTCTTCGCCCCCGCACCGCGGGACCGGACTCAGTCCTTGGCCTCAACGGAGTTTTCGCTCGCCGCCTCGGGTTCAGCCCCAAGTGTCGATGTGGAAACGAAGGATGATGGGTATTGATGGGTTCATAAGGACTGATGGTCGCCCCCCCCCTTGTTTCCCGGATGCTTCACATCGGGCGGCCTGGGGGGGGGGTTGAAATGGTTGAAACGGCCTGGGGACCATTGACGAAATGAAGATGGAGACAGAGTGACGGAAACCGGACCAGAGACGGATCTGGAAAGTAAGATCGGGAAAAACAAAACATCGGATATCATGGGATCTAGATGCATCCTGGAATTTCTTTGTATCATGTGTTGATCTGTGGAAGAATATGGAAGGACTGGCCGAACTTGCTTTCAAACACATAGGGTCAGTTTGCATAGACTAATCTTCAATCAACCACAAAAACACTGAAACCAGTTGAACTCTTAATTTTAGCCTTTCTTAGGTCCAAACATGTGTTATTCATCAGTTCGTTTCTGCCTCCAGGCGCCTCCACCTCCGAAACGCTCTGAGCCGGTGACAAGGCTGGGCTGAGTGACCCTGAGACACCTGGAGCGAAGCTGGAGCCCGGAGCAGCAGGAGCGAAAATTCCATGATCCTGTGAAAAAATACTGAAGGTAGACAGGTTGTTTCGACCTGGAACTAGGGCCCTAGCGGCCCTAGCGTGCCCTAGCATTCCAACCACCATTGAGGGGTTCAAGTCCCGAACAATCATTGTTTTACTGTTTATAGTAACAATGGTCGACGCGAAGGCTGGGATGTGCAAGACCCTTCTCATACATGCTGCGCATCCCAGTACTTGAAATGAAAGACACGGTACTCAGGTACTCGTCAGTCTGTGGTGTATGGCGACGAGCTGGCATCCTTGAAAACGAATCAGTTGATGCCTTGTAGACCGAGAGTTAGGTGTCATGACCGTGATCAACAAGCCTAATACTTTCTCAAGAGGTGCATTCATGAGTGGCGTTGTTCTGAGGCTCTCTTTTTGCTGTACTTGTTCAAAGGACATGGATAAGGGGTCAATCGAATGGTTCGAGCTTTGCTCGACTTGCGCGCCAAATGCGCTGCAAGGATCTAGGCATCTAAGCCCAACCCCGACCAATACATCCAACTTGTCGAAACTGAGGCGGCCCAGTGGCAGCCAAATGTCAAGGTGAAACATAGATAGATGCCCAAGCAAGAGGCAAAAGGAAAACAAAGAGCTCGAGGAGCAGAACAAAAGGTGCATGTGCAAAAGAGCTAGCAAAGGGGCCTGTTAATCTGTGCAAAGCCACAGCTAGCGGTAAAGGCATCGCGTGGGTATGGCTCTCATAACTAGACTGCACAAGAACAATGATCGAACGGCAGACGTTCCTGATTGGTGAATTCTGGAGCCATATCCACAACGGAATCCACCGATTCTGGGACTCACACGACCACAGGTTTAGGGCTTGGTTTTTTTTGGCCCTGTTTTGGGTTTTGTTTCGAAACGTTTGCCTCAGGGTTTCAAACGGACCTGTTAGATTTGGGGGCCGTGCCTCCCAAGGTTCTTTTTCCGTTTAGGGCTTTCCATTTCCAAATTCTCATCGCACACCTGTGGTGCAACGCACTTGCACCGACCATTCCTTGGCTATCCGACCATTCCGCATCTCCAGTGCGAAAAACAGAGCTCGGCAACCACAGTAAATCACTGAATCCAGTGATTAAAAACTAAGGAGCACAGTAAATGGTGACTGTATGTGATTGATTGCAATCATGAGTTTGAGGCTTGCTCCGCCTCTTGTTGGTGTTTTCAAATTGGCCCATGGCGGGAGATGTGAACCAATCCAATTGGCCCATCGTTCTTGGGGTTGGTCTTGACCCGAACTTGACCCCCTTCTCACAGGATAGGGACTACCATGGTTTGGTGTGTGGCCTCAACAGGGCAGTCATGGGCTTGACCCGCACAACACGTGTGCGAACCAGAACGGAAAAACTATATATATAACTAAGGAATTCTTTCAACCAAGTCTGTATGCCTTTGAATCTGTCCTATACTGCACTTGTCATAGCCATGCTTCTCGATGTGCGCAATAAAGGGATTTGCTGGCAATCCGGAATGCTGTGCCATCAATGGACAGGATGCCACTGGGCAAGCTGCACCGGTGGCTGGCCTGTGGCAGATTCCATGATTCCACTAGGGCTTCCTTAAGGGACCAACGGCCCCAAACGAACCTGCCTTTGTTTTTTGGGATTGCTTTGATTGGGAGTTCCACCAAAAGGGACCAGACAAAAACAAAAACAACACATGTCTGGCTTCCAATGACCATACCACGATGTCATTGGTTCTTCCCCAAAAAACTGTGCAGCCTAGCAGGTGCGACTGCGTCACACACCGATGCTTCATCGATCTCGCATCATTCCAAAAAGAACAGCACCAGACGCACCGTGACGGCACCAGACACCGTCAGATCTTCATCCTATCCAACGTCCCCACGATCGATTGGTCCGTGGTCCCCCACTGTCGATCAGATCTCACCTCTGATCGCAGCAGTCCCCTTTCCAGGCATAGCGGATTCCAAAGGCCATGCCCTGGGTCTTTGCAAGGTCCACCACGATGGAGTTCGCAGACACCTGACAGAAGAGCGGAGCTGAGATGAGTGAAATAGAGGGCTTTTGGCATCCCAACGCTTTGATGAAGGCATGCACAAACGAACCATCCTCGTAGGGTTGCGGAAAATCACAGCTTTCTCTTGTGGTCTTTGGCCATGCCTGGGTGACCGGGGGGCTGCTTGTAACACTTCCCTCGCAAGAGCAAAGCAGTCGAACATGATTCCAAGTTCCCCAACTGAACTTAGCATGATGCCATTTTGCAAAGGATCATGTTCAGAATTCACACGGGGGAAGAAAGTGGATGGAACAACTTTCAAGGTAGAAGCTCCATCAAAATCAAGCCAAACACATGGGAGCTGCACCATCAATGAAACACGTCAGGTCTGCTTGAGCTTGAGAAACACCGTTTCACGGCTGGAACGGCCTGGTGAACATCCACAGAGACCCAGGTCTTCTCATCTTCAAATGCTCCAGTACCAGCACCCTTGCCAGAGCCATCATCGATGCATTCCTCGTCCTGCTTTTTCCGGAAGAACGAGGAAGCGTGGCCAGACATGTTTTGACATGTTTAGACACATGTTCAACCACAAAAGGAGTCAAAAAGAGACAAACACGTCAGTCATATTCATAGACAAGGGTTGTAGAAACACCACAATCGTATCCCCATCTGCCAGGTATGCCCAACTTCCTTCTATAGATTTCATACGGAACCTGTGTTCAATGCCAAAGAAATTGCTCTGCGACCAAGCTAAGTGAGGGTCAGGTGGCACGTCTCAAACGAATAACCTTCCTTACTATCCCATGTGAAACTGAAGCCACATAGCCGCCTTCCGTCCGCTGGTCTGCAAACAAAATAGTGACTTGTTGGTGAGGACTTCCACACGGCTCGAGCCCAACGTCCTTGGCCAGTGAAATCGTGAAATCGGCATTCGCTGCTGTCTGCTGTCCCAAAACCGGCACAAGGCAGCTGAGCAAGTGGGCCATTTGCATCATTTAAGTAGATTCATTTGGATCAAAAGAGCAGGCAGGGACAAAAAACACAAATCCCGATTGTTCATGTGTCCGATGTACACGCACTCTTTCTATCCAGTGTTCACCATCGCTTGGGCTTTTTTGTTGCGAAGCTGCACGCACATCCGACCCTGTGGTTGCTGGTGCTTGCCTGTGCTTGTGCACGTGGCGCACTGGAGCCTTCAAATATGTCTCATCTTCTTTTAGAGACGAGTCGCTTGTAGTCTTGGACAATCAAGCGATCTGATCCAAGCAACGACCTGCGAGCAAAGGCTATACTATAGTGCTTGGTTGGCACGGATGGCTCTGTTAAACAAACACTTTCCTGCTCGGAGCCACTGGTCTTCTCACAAAGTGTGTGTTGTTAGCTGTCAGTTGGTCTGTCAGTGTTCATGGCAAGATAGCTCTGTGTGTGTGTGTCTTGTCGTAAGCAACTGTCTTGTCAACTTAGCTACAGTGTCCCACCGGTGCAAAGTCTGTCCCGTGCAAGAACCATCTCTGCACAGCTGGGACCTCGACTCGAATCTGCAGCAAAAAAAACCTCCCAGCGGACCCAGCCTATTGAACTGAACGGTAATCTTCCCATGTGCCATCTGACATCCTGCCAGTGTGGGTCCAGTAAATGGTCCCTGCAGGCCATACGCAATGCTGGCAGCGGCCGCAGCCAAGCGATCACCCACAGGTTTCTTGTCTCTGGGGTGGATCGGGCCGATGTAATAATTCGTGGCCTGAGAATCGCAGAATGTGCGAAACACACGGGAGCTCGGTGCGAGCTCCCAGCTGTCCACCATGCCCGACCTACGCCCGATGTCCATGGGGACAAGACTCCGTGCCAAGGCGGCGCCCTTGGACGAGGAGTGTGGGCGCCAAAATGAGACGCAATGAGCTGACTGGATCTGTTCGGACTGGATCCCGAAGCACTGTGGATCTGTTTTCATCTGAATTGAAATGTTCGTCTCCTTGAGGAAACCCCCTGGCCAAAATGAAACACTTTTTGCTAGTAAGTGGCCTGGAACGACAACACTGGCTAGCCGTTAGCCGCTTGCTCAACACAGATCCAAACGTATCGCAGCATGTTTGCTTGCTGCTTCAACTCTGGGGCGGCTGCCATGATCTTCTCTCCGTCATTGGTGCAAAGAACATCAGCTGAGTGGCGCTGAGATTGGCGCAGTAGCCATTGGGCCCAAAGCAGCTGTGACACTGAGGCTTTGGAGTGGCCGTCCCACAGCAGCCGGCGCGATAGCAGGTGATGTTGCTGAAGGGATCGTCCAAATCCTGGGTGGACGGTCCAATTCATCCCCCCGAATGGGTCGGTCGCAAATGACTTGGATTTGGATGGTCTCTTTGTTTGCCCCAAAAAATCAGGAATAGCATAGGTGATGATCTGCGTGTTTCCTTTGGCCACTGCTTGCATAAAGACGCCCAAAGCCATTAGAACTAGGTCAAACACACTACCATCCCCCATGTGTTTGGGCTGGAAGCCCTACTGACTGCAACTGAGGCACGAAAGCCTGTGCCATGAACCTTAGTGATCCGATCATCTCTGCGAGTGTCAAGGGTATCATCATCGCTATCTCAAGGCGCACCAGTTGTAAATGGCTGGAATGTTGCAACTCGACAATCCAAGTAGACCTATCGACGTTTTCCAGAAGCTAGCCGGTAGCCATCGGTAGCCGGTAGTACTTAAGCGTGTGGGCCACATCTCTAGCCTGATCCAAGACCAAATGCTTCTTAACCTTTTTAGGAATAACCATTTGCGCACGCGTAGTAAAGATGCAGAACTCTATAGACTCTAACCAGGGAACAATAACATGGAATGAGGCTCTGGTGAGCAGTGCTCACATGCACATGGTGAACACCCCAACGTCACCCAAGTGACACAGAAGAACTTGACTCCCCTTGACTCTGGGCGCGTTACCACTTGATCTTTATCTCTTTCAAGTCCAGTCCATTCCCAGACATGGACCGGAATCCAGATCTTCGACTCTAGCCCACACATCCACCGTTGGGAAGACGCGCAGCCTGAGAAGGAGTCCATCCCACGACGGGCGTCCACCAAGCCACGTCTTGGGCATGGCCGGATTGGGCGCCACGCCATAGTTCGCGGTCTGCGCCCAACGCATGGCACCCATGCTGTTGCCGCCTTCACCACCCGAGGGTGCCAGCGTCACCTCAGCACCGGCAAGGTCAGGCGGCCCGGGCACGTCCATGGAAACATGGAGGTTGCAATGACAAGTACATCAAACCACGGATGGAACAAAGCAGTTAAATGACATGCTCTCATTGATTGAGGGTGTCATTGTGTCACCTTTCTGGCGCTGACATCGGTGGGCGGACCTAGCGGTCGCGGTCTGCCGGACATACTGCGACCCACGAAATTAACCGCTTGAAAACCGATGGTCTGACACTGAAACATGATGCTTGCCGTCCCGGTGGTCTTGCTGCTTCGACCTATGGAAAGAACGTACAAAATCGCTGCACATGGATGAGTCCATCACATCAGATGTCAGCCATAGCAAGGTAGTGTCAGAATATATACTAAAAAGTCAGATCAAGTCCGGGAGTTGATGTCCACTTTATGCTTGAAGGAATTCACTATTCGATCCATTTGGGCGGTCCCTGCAGCTGTTCAGAGGTTCAGGCTTCATGCCTTTGCCGCCGTCCGCGTCGCCATGCCATGTTCAACATCTACCTCTGACCATCTGACCATCTGACTGCTAGCCTGGCCTGAGACACCATCAATGAGACAACCCAATATATAACCGGAAAGTCTGGGAGTCATCAAACCAACAATCTATGCATAGATCTTATGATCTGTAGCTTGGGTCTAAATCCAGCAGTCTTCCAGTCTTCCTACCTTCGAAGATCCGGCCAATCTGCCCCAAAGGAATGGGACCTGGAGCCCCTCAAAAAGACCTGAGTGGAAGGTAGATGCGTCCAGTACCGCTTGGGATATCCATGGGGAATTCGGTGAAGAAAACCTTCGAAACGCCATGGAAAACCTCCTCTGCCCCTTTTGCAGCACAGCCACAAAACCAAACGGGGCCATTGGATTCGTCGTCTCCTTAGAACGGACGCTGTCAGGGTGTTTGCGGTCGGTCTTTTTTGACAAATCCTCTGCATGTTCAGTCCCAAAATACAACGGTAAAGCAGGCCAAAGGCAGCCATGTGTTTTTTCATGTATCTCGGCTTTCTTCAAGGCTTCGAAACATCCAGAGCGTGGCCTGAGGGGAAGTCTATGATTTGCTAAGCGGAAACAGGAGCCTAAGCTCGCTAAATCCTTTCACAACGATCTATTTGCAAGACACCAAGCAAAACGCAAAAAGTCAAAAAGTTAGAAAAATCAAAGTCAAAAAGTGAGAAAAGGCAAAAAGTGAAAAAGGTAAAGGAAACTTCGAGACTTTTCGACCTTTCGAGATTTTTGGACACCAGTCACATGCCGTGCCCTTCAACAAGTCGAGCAGAATTGATCCAAACGTTACATCTCCAGCCGTGTCAAAGTGAGTCAGCCTCGAGCAGGAACGCCTTCAAAAAAGAGACGCCCGCCAAAAGGACCCGGCAAGCCCCGGGACCTTTTGGTGGGTGACTCTTTTTATCATCGTTGCCTTTTCGTGCACTTTTCGACTTTTCGCGACTTTTCGACTTGTCGCAAAAAGCTCGGAGAGCAAGTAGATTTAGCAACCACAGCAAAAGCAACAGCCCCTATCAGCCCCTCAATTTGGGGTTCTTTCTTTCTTTCACATCCACCGAGTCGGTCGAATCGACCCGAAAAGCAGGACCGGTGGATGCCACCAGGGCGGGACCTGTAGGGGCCATAAGTAATCCATCTCAGTTGCACTGGAACCAGGGATCCATGAAAAACCCTATATAAATGGACTTGCCCCATCATTCTCATCCATTCTCGATGTCTGTGTGTGAAATGGTGGCAAAATGTTCAGTGAAACGCAGCTGGACTGGAAATACCTGGAAGATGTCCACTGATGTCCACCGAAGATATCCACAATCGATTTGCCTCACAGAAATGACCAGCACTTCGACCAGCACGGGGCGCTTGGGAGACCGTAAACCCCGGAGCATCAACTTTAGACCAAAACCCATTGGCTGGGGATCTCCCTATGAAAAAATCTGCTAAAACATGGGGATCCACCTTCAAACTTTGGCGCCAAGTTCATCCACCACCGAGCTACCCATCCCACCAAGTTTTGCCCAGCAGCTGCTTCGGTGCTCCAGATCTGTCGCCAACTGTCCACCAGTCGCTGCGCCAAACATCCATAGCCATAGTTCAGAGCCGAATTGCCATGCACACCTAAGCCACGTGCTGGGGCGTTTATTGGGACACGCTGAACCCCGGGAACCAAGAGAGATAGCTTCTGAGTCCTAAAAACAACACATCCAAATACGACTGCGGGGATCCCCCGAAACCCAACTCAATAGGACAGCGAAACCAGAGCTAGGGGTGTCAAAAACCTATGATAACCCTGTGAATGGACATCAACCAGCTCATATATATATATATATATGTATGTACCCTGATGACCTTCCTTTTGACAAGAATCCGTCCATGTTTTTTTCGCCTTGGTACCAAATCCAGCCCTTCAGAGTCATGTTCGAATAGGGCATCACTCGCTCATCGTGGTACTTCTGGTTCCGCGCGCTGATCGAGGCCTGGGGAACACCCGAGCGCAGCGCTTTGGAAGGGACAGGGCCCGGGCAAAGAAACCGAAGGGAGCGCCCCAGCCAGTGGCATGACCAAGCAGTGGATTGAGAATGGGAAAAACTTTAACCCTGAAAAGAAACAGAGAATCTGTGGAAGCTCTGACAGGTTGCATTCTTGCAGGTGGCAATGGTCTTGTTGTCCAGCCAAGCCTCAATCATGCCTCACGTTTCCCACAGAGACCGCATCTACAGCATTCAAAGTACATCGAAATGCCAGTAGTGGATTTGTCAGTCAGAATCTGATGCCCCTGCATGAATGGTACTCAAAGCAAGTCTCTCTGCTGCCCTTCCCCCAAACTCTCGACCGACACCACATAACTTGTAAAAGAAAGGCTTCGTGTCCATTTCAAACGCTAGAACAGCGCGCGTCGGCGAGAGAATGTTCTTCGCAAGCGACTTCCACCCTTGGCAGTGTGGATCAGGCCAATGGGTGTGTCATCGTTCAGCCGATCAGAGAGGCTCTCCGCAAAGTACCAGCATGTTGAAGAGTACCTCAACCCTAGACTTCCGAGACCATGAAAAAAATGGTTGACCTGGTGTTTGTAGTGTAATATCCTTAGTTGATTCGGTAAAGCCTATTAAATTCATGGTGGTTGGAAGCCTAGGGTCAAGCTCCCAGCGATGTACGTGGCCGCCAGAAATGTACGTGGAGGGAGAGTCCGCACCCGGCGGTTTGCTTTCAGTGCGCGTTCTGCATCCTTGATCTCGAGGTCTGGGAGAAGGAGTTTGGGCCCTCTAACACACAAAAGGGATCCGAAGTAGGCTGGTGAGATGCAAAAAAACAGGTTGCCGAATCTGAATCCAGAACTTCTAAAGATCGTTTTCGTCAAGCGAACGGACACGACGATCTACATCATTTTGCCGCTGAACATCGACTTCTCTGACGAACCGAGGCCTGGCGGCGCAGGAGACGTCCCTTTTCCCCACCCTCTTGAGGTGACGTGATCCTGCAGGACATGTGTCGGACACGTTCACGCACGTGTGTAGGGGTGCAATCTCATGGGTGTAGACTATAATCTACAGAATCTACAGATACTTCGTCTGTTCTGTCCTGCTCCAATCCTGCCAGATGAGTCCATCCACCTCCAGGAGGGCGGGAGGCGATGGGTGCCCAAACCGACCGGAAGCTGCGTCTCTTGAAGCAATCCGATAGCTCCCAGCCCAATGGGTTTGGCATCCATCCCTGCATCCCTGCCATCTCCCTGCCAAAGAGCTTGAAGAAGGCACAGTCACCTTTCTCGCAACTTCCAGGGCTCTGAATGGCATCTGAAACTTTCTGCCATGGCAGGGTGCCTGTAGGCACTCATTCCGTGGATTCGAATGTTGGCGTACCTGAAGTCACATGATGCGGAAAATGACTGCAAGCCCTTCTTTTCGTCCAAAGGTACTACAGTAGGCGCTTCAGTGGTAAAATACGGAAAGCCTAAAGCCTGCCAGTGCTTAGCTGTGTCACTTCCCTGCTTTGATCGCATCAACGCTGATGTTTCGAGACATGGTGTGAATCAAAGGCAGCGCCATATTGCTCTGACCCGAACAATACCTCAGACCGTGGCGACGCGCGGGCGCTCGCTAACGAGAAAAAGCACCGGTGTAAGTTCGGTGGACCGTGAGCACCGGGAAAAGGGAATGTCAACCTGGTCTGGGGGTTGGTTTTTCTCCATACCCACCGACCTTAGTGACTTAGTGGTGAGTCAAAGGTCTCCAGCTTTGCCCCCGAACGAGCGGACAGTCGGTGACGCCCAGAGGCCACACGTCTCCAAAGGTCACCGAGTTCATCTCCTCAGGCGCCAAGGAGCCCAAAGAAAAGACGAGTAACAGGTGCATCGCTACTGGTAATACGTGCATTACTACTAAGTAGCAAATAGCTACTAGCTACTAGTAATGCCCTTAGCTACTAGCTACTAGTAGCGATGCGACTTGTTACTGGTAGTAATGCAGCCACGGGGCCCAAAGCTCGAAGGCTTAGGCGTCGGCCACCGGTGGCCGCTTGCCGACTTGCCAAAGTCGGGGGCGGTGTCTACCAGACTCCTGACCTCCAGGAGTCAGCCCCTTTCTTGTGCGAGTTTGCTCACGAGCGTCGGTTGTGTGAGTGCGCCATGGATAAGCTGGACGACCTGCTGTCGCTTCTCCAGAAGGATGTGCAATCCGAGATCCGAGGTTTGTTCTCTGGCCTGCAGGTGGGATCCACGCCTCGACTTGGATCCAAGACGCTGATCGCTGGGAATGTTGTCACTTACGGTGACGAGTGGGTGGATCTGGCGGCATTGTGGTTTGTTCCTGGTGTTGGATTTGGACCCCCCCAAGGACGAAGCCATCACTAGGGTACATATGCATGACATCCAGATGAAGAACCTCCACCTTTGTTCTGGCATTCAAATCGTGTGTATTGGGGACCAGGCCCCTGGCCTGGGAGTTCATGACATCATCCTGAACAATGCAAGGACTTGCTTCAGGCCGGATTTCGACCCTTCGCTTCCATGGGACTTCCTGCACATGTTCTGTGGGGGTTTCGGGGGATGGAGCCAAGCCATCAGATGGTTGGACAAAGAGCATGAAGTTTGTCTAGGGCAAGAGATCTTTTTAGATCGCGACCCGTTGATCATGTCCATCTGGGATGTGAAGCATGGACTGCAGCGTCGTCAGCTCCCGCTCGCCGGCCATGAAGCTTGGAGCCCTGCAAAACAGGTGGGGTTGTGTGGGACCGTCAGCGACCCCTCACTGATCGATGCCTGTAGATCTCAAGCAAACTTGATTACTACCATGTCGCCGCCCTGCCAGAGTTGGAGCAGGGGCGGACGTGGTTTGGGATTGAGTGAATTGAATGGGAGAGCATTTCTGGACGCTTTGATTCAAGCATTCTCATTGCAGACAATCGCAATTGCAGCTGAATGCGCAGACGACATCGCAGTCCACCCACATTTTAAGGCTATTAAAGCCCTTGCACATGCCATGGGCTTTCGCCTTGTTTGGGATCAGATCACTCCTTACAGATGACTTCCCATGCTAGATCTAGATGGCTTGGAGTTTGGGTCAGAGCTGATGCGGCTTTGTTGGATTTTCCTTTCCTCCTCAAGCTCCCGGTGATCCCCCACATGCACTGGACTGATCAGGCATACCAGTTTCCCATCCTACAGAGATGGGCTTCGCAACTCCGATTGTGTCCTTTTGAGTGCCAAGCATATGATTCCCCTGACTTCCTGCCTCCGGCAAAACGCTCCAGGTACGAGAATCGGGACTTGAAGACCAGCGAGATCATTCGCTCGAGAGTGCCAAGCAGTGCAGACATCCTGCCAACACTGTGTGCATCATACACGTGCCAGCACCAACTTGCTGAGCATCACCTGAGACACAAGGGTATTTTCGCCTGCCTTCGAGAGACAGCAACAGGCTTTCAGTTCTTCGAGCCGACCTTGTTTTGTAGTTTGTTTGGCGCAACTGAACATATCGTACTCTCAGAGAAAATTGGAGAATCTTTTCTCCTTGCTGGCAACGCCATTTCGGTACCATATGGCTTGCTCGCTCTTTCGATTGCGTTCCATTGCACCAGCTCCTGCAAGATTGACCCCATCGGCCTTGTCCGGAAAGCCTGGTCTGAAAGACTTACGGCATACAACACTTTTGTCATTCATCTCGTTCCGAAGTGTGACTTGTGGAAATGGATCACAGAAAAGCCCCGTCCCTGCGGGCAACGGGAATGGACTCTGGCAGGAGTTTGTGCTGGACAACAGATTGATCTCCAAGCGCACTCACACCAAACGGTTCAGCAGGTTTTTCGGGATCACTTCGTTGCACCTGATAGCCTTTTCGACCAGCTGCATGCTAGGAATGAAGACATCAGAGTTTCGTCCTTGTCCACCATCCGGAGCGTGCTTTTCGTTTGGCAATCGGGAATGCCCATCTTGGGAATTTCGAGCTTCGTGAATCGCCATCCATCATGCCTTGCACTAAGGTCATCGAAGAACCTCCTCCTGGAGACGACCCTCATATGATTTTGCTGCACCACAAAGCCTTTGAGGAATACACCAGGCCGAATCTATTCTGGGCTATTCAGCAAATCGTGGAAACACTGCAAGACGATACGCTGAACAGACACGCAGCAGCTTCAGTTGTCATCTATCCTGAGCAGTTGACAGTGACAGCTCTTCTATCCCGAGAAGGAGGACGGTGCCTTATTCAACAAGTTGCCGAGCTGCCAGTATTCAGCAACAGGAACAAGCAAATTTGCTGTGTGCCAGGGGAATCTCACACATACCTCTTGCTCTCCGCTGTCAGGAATTGTGAAGATGCTGCCAATATCGAAGTTATCATCCGATGCAACAGTGACGTCATCAATGGCGCCAGCCTGCCAACTGACACTTTCTCAGTCCAGGTCTGTGGCGAGTCGGATGAACATCACACGATTGAGAAGGTCAGAGTCAATGGCATGCCTCTTCATGAATGGAATGGGCCCAGCCTTTTCAGCCAGGAGACATCCTCGATGTTCACACCTCACATGCCATCCAAGCAGGTGGGCACCACCTCAATCTGGCAGCTCCGCCGTCCCTGCCGGTTTTCGCTGATTCTACAGCTCGAGTTGAATTTATGTGTGATACGCATGGTTGGGTTGCGACGGACGAAATGTTCCACTATACGCAAGCACTCCGGTGGCAGCAAGACTGGCTCCGTTTCGGAACTCCTCAACGTTGGAATATTGCCAATGGTGACTTTGAACAACCAATCTTCGGCGAGCTCAACATTCCGAACAATTCCACTACAGCGATCCCAGTCCTCATTGGGAGCCATTGGGCGGGCATTGAAATCACAAGACAGGGCAGTGATACTTCTGTCGTCTTCCTCCAGGTGAACGAACAGCTGCATACGCCACTCACCATTGCTCCCCATCGCTTTCAGGTGCAACGCGAGTTCAATGATCCTCCTCCACACCTCTGTGGGTGGATTCTCATCTTTCGCTGGTATCGCAGACATGGCATCCAGCAGGGAATTGCTGACATCTCGCACCATATGCAATTGAACACGGAGTACAATGAGCTGATTCAGATTGCCTTGCAGTGCTCCAGTGAAGATTGGGCTCTGGCTCAGATCCCTATCGAAATTGGACAGCTTGCACACACCCTCAGGAAGAACTTTCTGTGCTTTCTTGCGAGGAGAGAACTACAAGGTCGACCTCACCAGCAGATTGCTCTTGCTACAGCATGTCCTCCACCTGTACCTCAACCTGTACCTCAGCCACAGGTTCCACCACCTCAGCCTGTTTTGCCGTTTGCTCCGCTACCATGGCTGGACAGATCACAGGCCATCCTCGACAGAATCAGAGACTGGCTGAATCAAATCTTGCTTCACCCTGGTTGGCTCTCGTCAGACGAGCTTGACATTGCACTCGAGGGACCGAGGGCTATGAGCCCCACTACGTTATTTTGCCCTCCGTGCTCCTGGAACATTGGCGCTTCTCATCTCCACTTCTTCAACGCCTACCTGCCAGATTATCGGGCCTT